TATAAATCTAATTTATGTATATATCTTTAAATTAATCATTTTGATTAACTATATAAAAAGTTATGTAAATATTTATTTGGTAGTATATATTTAAAAATAAAATGCTTTTCGTAAAAAAATATTTTTTTCAATTTAAGGACTTTAGTCAAGTTTTATAAAATTTAGTTTATGACATTTTCTTATTAAAATTACAAATATTTAAATCTGATTTGTTTTTTAAAGTAAATCATTTTGATTAATTATATAAAAAAATTATGCAGATAAAGTATTTCTGGTAGTATATATTCGTTAAAAAATACACTGTAAAAAACTAATTTGTTGTAAATTTAAAGACATTTTATTAGTCAAGTTTTATATAATGAAGTTAATGACATATATTTTGTTAGAAAAATTTAAATATATCAATCCAGAATTTTTATGGCAAGTGAGACCCACTATCCAAAAAAGAGAAGGAAGATGAGTGGAAACATCAAAGTGGTAAGGGAAATGTTATAGAAGAAAGTGATGTGGCATGAGAAATAAGAGGGGGAGAGGGGAAAGTGAGGACTAAAGTTGCTCTAAGAAATACAACACATTGCTTATANCCCGGTAAACCCCCCACCCTGACCGGAACACACCCCCACACCCCCTTCAATTGAACCGCACAAGTTGACTTTGACTTTGGAGTCAAATTTTGACTCCAAAGCCAAAATCAACTTGTGGGGTGCAATTGAAGGTGGTGCAGGGGGTGTTCCGGTCGGGGTAGGGTGGGGGGGTTTACCGGGGGGTAGGAACCGTCAATTTTATGAACGGGACACCGGGGGCCCCCCGGGTCATCCGGCAATGTCATGGAAACCGTCCCCTTAGAAATTAGTGGGTTTGTGAAAAGGGAGGTTCCTAAACTAGCAGTTTAAGAAGGGTAGTCAACATGTAAATGACTTCTAAGGGCATGATTATATGATTATTTGCAAAATATAGAGAGAAAAGTTTACATTTGAAAAAGGAGTAGATGGTAATTAATACAGAGAAACATTTGGAGGTAGGGAGTTCATATTTAGACTCCCCTTATATGTACACTTCCCTTCAGGTTTATTTTAATATTCTTTGACTAAAAATATCCACCTTCCTTTTATACTTAGGGGCTAAAAAGCCTTAAGTGATAGCATAAGTAAACATAGAAATTAATTATTTTCCAAAAATCATCTTTCATTTACCACCTAAGTGCATTACAAAACACATTTCTGCAATTAACGTTCACCAATCAACATTCTAATTCTGCACACATTATGGTCATGTCTTCGTTTTGGTTGAACACACGCGCTAAGTAAATAATACGGAGTAGATATCTTCCAAATAACAAGCATTATCCAGATATATGTTCAACGCATGGATTTTGAAGCCATGAATAAAACTTTTTGTACACCAAAGTTTTAACGTCACTCCCATTTTTTGCACTTGATAGACTAGTTGTCTATGAGACAAACAAATCTCATCTATGTAACATAAAAACAAATTTGGTCTATTTCACAACAAATCTCATATGAAGTAGAAAAGTGAGAGTGGTGTAACTTTGGTGTAAAATTTGTAGTGAACACCTGGACCTTGTACAACTCAGTTTATCTTTTTTCCAAGAACATAAAATGATGTTGGCTTTTAATACTCCCTCCGTCCAACAATTTCTTTCTTGTTTTGACTTGGCACGAAGACTAAGAAAAGTTAAAATTTGCTTCGACTTTCTAAACATACCCGCCCTCGCCCTCGCCCTCAGCCCATCCATCTTCTCTTTGTTACTCTACGCCACCATCAATATCAATCGGGCCATTAGTTGCGAGTCCACCATCAATCGTTGTTGCTGCAGGAGTGACTTCGCAACCAAATCAGATGTCGCCGATGACCATCTTTATTACAGATCTGAGTTTATTTCTCATATACGAGAGAGAAATCGGCCTAAATCAAAATAAGGGTTACAATCTAAAATCTGTCCAAATCATGCACGAATTACACTGTCCGATGAGATCCAATCTGAAGACAGCGAATGAGAAGATAGAAGAAAGTGGTGACGGTGATGCATGAGAAGAACTGACCTTTAGACGGAAAGGGGTTAGAAGGCGAAAGGTTAGGCGGCGACGAAGATAAGATCTAAGCTTTTTACAGCGGCAGATGAGCAGACGACAATGAGTATTTAGGGAGGAGTGGAGTACCCTGCTGCTATGGAAAACACTGATGAGTAACTGGAAGAGGAAGAAGGTTGGTGGTGGTAGGCAGAAGAAGAAGGCTGGCAGAGGATTGAGGAGTACAGAGTTATAGATAAGGCTATGGAGTATTAGAAGGGTAAATATGAAATGTGATCTAAATTTAGTTACCAAAATTAGGAAATTAGGAAAAGGGAAGAAAATTTTTGGATGGTCCACAAAGGAAAGTGGGAAAGATATTTTTGGACGGAAGGAGTAAATCCTAAAAATAGTAATAACAACTTAAATTTTAAATTTTTAATCAAATCAAATCCAATTAGATTAGATCAAATCTATTCAAATCAGATTAGATCTATTCAATCAAATCAAATCAGATTCATTTAGATTTGATCAGACCTAAACAATTCAGATTAGATCCAAATAATCCAATCTGATCAAACGAAGAGAAAATAGCCTAATTCTTAAAATTATCATAATTAGTATGAAGTATATTTTTTAGTTCTAATCTCCATAATTCTAGCCATTATCCCAGTTAAGCTATTATTTTAGCATCTTGACCTAATTTAACAACCCCCAACTTAGGCTCTGTTTTTTTGGGTTGGAAAAATTAACTTCCAACTTTATCCAACTCCTTCCAGTTCCTTTGAACTCTTTCCAGTTTCTTCCTACGACTTAAAAAATGTATTTATATATGATGAATATAAAACAACATTATAAATCCAAATTTACAACATACCACATCAAACACAAACAATGATGATTTTTTTATCCAAAATTAAAGTTTTCTTACATATGTATTTGGGTGATCATTTAATTGAGTGACTTTTTAACACTTAAATTCTTCCAACATTTTCCAACCCTTTCCAACTCCTTCTAGTTTCTTCCAACACCCAACTCTAAAATTCTAACCCAAAAAAACAGAGCCTTAATGGTTGTGACTGAGTCAAAGTAACTAAGTAGTTGAAACACCTAACTTATTTACCAGACATTTCATTAGTTAAGTTCTCATAAATTTACCAAAGACAACCACGTATACAAAGGAGAACTATTTTTGGACATTTAATAGTATATGCGACATAGTTAAAGAAAACAACTAATAGCGCTCAGTTCGATACACATAAGGGTGAAATAGAAATGAATGTCTTTCATAGCACACCTTAGCATCTTTTCATGTTTGTATCATGTGATGATATTTTCTGGGTTGATTGTTAAAGTATCATGTGAAATTACACAACTTATCTAATTTTAGTTATAGTGGGATGGTTTTGGGTTTGTTGTTGTTGTTGTGGTTGTGGTTGTGGTTAAGATTATCCGATTTTAGTATTAATATGCACACAAAAGATTAAAAGCATAAAAAAAAATACTCTCTGCATTTTTAATAAAGACAACCAAGAGGGAAAAGGTGGAAAAAATAGACAATTACAGTTGTTGCTAAAAGGCATATGAACTATGAAGAAAAAATTAGTTGTTTCAATTGTGATAAACCATTTCCTCATCATAGTTCCCAGATAAAACATTTTTGGGCAGTCCAAAAGTTTATAACATTATAAAATGAATACAGTATCATAGGGGCATAACCAAGTGGAAAAAATGCTTGGGGTCATGGAAGCATTATTTCCTAAATCACGAATAGCTTGCTAATTATGCCTTTGGCATTTCATAGCATATAAAGATCAGAAACACTAAGAGCTAAAGTATATTCTAAAATTCTAGAATTTTCAAAGAAACAGTGCAAACTACTCAATGACATTAGTAATATGCAATTATATATGAAGTCTATAAAATGGTGAATTTAAAATTAAGTGGAATAACTTTTACAAAAATGGCAAAAATATCATGACTAGTTTCCGAAAATGATGTAAACTACAGTAGGGCTAAGACTCTTAGAGTCAAGTAAGTACAGGTGTGGCATGCAAGTGAAAAAGAGAGTGATTTTCAATGTAGTTAAAGATTGAATGTTCTTTGTTGTATGGATTTAGTTGTCTACTTTCCAAATAAATAAAAAATTAAAGAATGAGAACAAAATAAAATAAAAACTCTTTCTATATTAGTTTTTTTCATTGATAGCAACATTGTTAATATGTTCTTTAGAGGGTAGTATTTATGATTCAAAACAAGCTTTTGAAAGGCGATAACTAGCATCGAGGCGGTAGAGCAAAATGCCTTGAGGCGTAAGCCTTGAAGCGAAACAATACTAAAACAAAATGCACAATCCATTTTCATGTTAAGTAAATGATAAAATCATAAAATCTGAATTTTACAAAAAAATGATACCCTCTCTTGATTCTTAAAACACAAAAATATAGAATTATAAAAATTAAAAAATGTAACATAAAACAAAAATGTCTCAAACACATCTGCAAACCTTATAAATATTAAATATGAACAAAACTTCACACAAAGAAAAAGTTACATTATTCTTTAAGTTTGAACTGAATTTAAAAGAGGGAGAAGGATGCTGGAAAAGAAGGAAAGGAAAAAGTTAAAAGTTGAAAAAAAATAAAGAAACAGAAGATAAGCAATTAAATATGAAGCAATCGTCTTAGCTGCTACCACAAGAGAGAAGTTGTGCCACTGAAGTATGCTGATGGAGAGAAGTATGGTTGAAGATGGAGAGATGGAAGTTGACGCTAAAGTCCGGGAAAGAAGTGTTAATTATCTATAAGGTTTATTTTCTAAAAAGAGTTTTTGTAAAAAAGGCCCAATAATTGTTGAAATTTTTATTAAAATTGAGGCTTATGCCTTGGTTACGAGGAAAAATGCAACCGCCTTACCGCCTCGAGGCAAACCGCCTCAGTCGCCTTTTTCAAAATAACTTGTTTACTACTACAGTAAGAGGACAATATATTTCTAATTTTGGATGCGCAAATACGAAGAAATGGATAGCTAAATCCGAATAGAGTGAGTGGTAAATGGGAGAAAATAATATAAACAAGATCAGGTAAAGTAGATAAAACATGACCACATATAAGGAGCATAAGACAGCAAGACAGAAAAGCAGTGAGGAACACTAAAATAATGCAGAGTACACATAGTACAATCAAGTTAAATGCAGAAAATAAACACCAACCTGCATGAAATTGTAGCGCTCTCTACCAATAGATTCGTTCTCCGCAATAGCAAAGTAAGACAGCATTGGGTAATGTCCAATATAAGAGGCAAAGCTATCACGCTGTATATTCACTGCCCATTCACTATACACAGAAGAAAGAAAACAAGAAAAAAGGATGGCTATTAGCATAATTCTTAATGATAAGCTGTCAAAATTTCAAAAGAGATTAAATCTTTACCAATAAAAGGTTTCAAGAATATGCTAACCCCGCAAAAAAGATAAATTGAAAACAAGTAAGGCAATTGGGGGGAAGAAACTAACAATCTTGTCAGGTCGGCATGTCCAGTTCCTACATATTTAGCCTGCAAGTGCTCGAGCTGGGAGTTGATATTAAATCTATCACTTGCCTGCATCAAAGAACAATGTATTTAATCAGTTACTCCTATTCAATAACGAGAATTGGTATATTTATATTTTTAGGGTTTTGCGATGAACAAGTACATGTTAGGGTTTTCGGTTGGATTGGCAAGGGCGATTTAAATTTCAAGAATTGCAAACTAAAAACAGAGAATTAATGCATCAATGAAATATTCCGCATAAATTAAATTTCAGAGATGTACCTGCATTTTTCCCTGTGAGAGTCGAGAGTCTTAAAAATTGTGTGAGACTTCTGCAGAAATAAAATGTTTCAAAATCTTGAAATCATATCCAATACAAATACTGAGTATGACTTGACACTTGCAGCCGAGTATGACTTGACAGCCTTTATTTTAATACTTAAAAAATACTTATTTAGGATATATGAATATTCACCATAGATATTAGGTTCATGTAATAATTTGTCTATTTCCTCGGTCAACTTGAAACTTTTGGCTTTAACTTCAAAATTTAAATGATACCTCTCAAAAATATAACTTTTTATAAAAATACTTCCAAATGTGATAATTAATATCATTGCTCCCAAATTTTTTAATTTTCGCGACATTACTCTTAATTGATAGGTCAGCTCCTACATAAAAAAAGGTTGACTTGTGTTTTGAATACTCTTTTTCCATTTTAATTTATTAAAAATAGGATCCCTAAGCCTTCTTCATATACATTGTGTTCGTTTTGTTCCTCTCGATCGTATTTCATTTTTTATCCCCTTGATAATCTTATTTATTCATTTGATTTCCCTCTTAATTTAAAATGTTTATTAATATTTCATCTATTATAAATTAATAGTTTGAGTTTAATTCTCCATGGAATTTAATAAAATAAAATTATATATTTGAAAATGATGTAAATAGAGTAATTACGTGTACCAAAAAAATATAGTTAAATAAAATTAAGTTTTTTAAATAATTATAAGACATAGGACTCCCATTTTTAATAAATTTTGAATAAAAAACGACTACTCAAAATACAAACTTGTTTTTTTACGTAGGAGCTGACCAGCCAATGGGGAGTAACGACGTAAAAATATAAGATAGTTGGGAGCAAAGATTTAATTATCAAATCTGAGAGTATTTTCGTAAAAAGTCATATTTTTGGGAGTATTCGTGTGAATATTTTTCAATTTTAAATGTAAAATGATAAAAGTATTTATTTTTCAAAATTGTCCTTCAATTCCCTACATGTCAACTCTTCTATCTCCAACCGCAACTTTGTCAAACAAAAAAGTTGACAGAGGGAATAACTTGCCTCAAACAAAATAATAAGAGAAGGGTAACTTAGTCTTTTCCACACAAAAATTGTCTGAAAAATTTAGAAAACATAGAGTGAGAACCTTAGACGATGAAGCCCAATCTTGTAGAAGAAGCGAACCTTTGAGAACCTATGGAGATATGAATAGAAAATTCCACCAGAGAGCCGCGAGAGATAGAGATATGCTATTGAGGGAGAGACTTGTGATGTAGAACATGAATTAATTGCTTAATTCGAGTAGCTACTAAATAAATGTAGGACTTTATCGAAGATTAGTGCTCGAACTAAGCTGTTTCAATGGAATTGTAGAAGAGAAAGAGAATTGCAGAGATAAAAGGAAGAAGACGATGAAATGTATTTTCTTGTGTTATACAGAGCTTACATGCCTATTTAAGCAAGATTATACAACTGAATTAGTTAGAAGCTTAACTAATTCACAACAAACTCACTACAGCCCAACCACAACCCAATTACAACTCAATAATAGGCCCAACTACACTTAGCTACTAAGCATGTATCAAGTTCAGGGCCGGTCCTGAGAATTCAACGGCTTGGGCCGAGATTAAAAAAAAGGCCCTATATCTAAAGTCTAGCAAATTAACATATGTAAACTAATGATATATAAAGGATAACTAAAGTAATACTATTAGAAGAAAATAAATAAATGACCAAAGCGTTTCTTATCCGGCTTGATACTTTCCCAATCTTCATCTTGTTTTCTCTTTTTACGTTTTTTTACTACCGGATAGATGTTTAGGTCTTTAGGACCTATAGCTATTGGATTATTTCTGAAATAAAATTCAAATTCATAAATTTTACTAGTTAGTAAAATCAAATATGGAAAAGCAAGCAAATAAATTCATACATCATAAACTCATATCAATTGATTCAATTCATCATTTTTTCAGTTTTTTTCTTTTTCAGTTTTCAGTCTTTTTATATATATCTTAAATTCATGTCAATTTATCAATTTTTCAGTTCTTTTTAGTTTTTCAGTTTTCAGTTTTTTTATATATATCATAAATTCAAATCAATTCATCCAAATCAAATAAAGAATATATGGAACCATTAATTCATTCATATTTCATAGCAATAAGCAAAGATTTCAAACTAAAAATTACTCCGTAATAATTAACCCTAGATTTTAAATCCAAAGAATGAAACAATGGAAGAAAGAAAATTAGAAAAAATTACAAAATTGGAAAGGTAGTGAATACGGAATACCTGGAGGGTGCAGCGGCGTCTGGAGGAAACGGAGGCGGCGTCTCTCTACCGGTGGCTTCTCCAGCAGTCGGCACTCTCTTTCCGATTGGGTTTCGGCAGTAGGCTTCGTCTCCAGCGCCTCTGCGGTTTGCGTTAGTTGTCTACGAAACCGAAGTAGGAAGGGATGGGGCGGCTAATGAGATGGGCTTTTGACATATTGGGCTGGGTGCTGGGCTTCGTATATACATACATATAATATTAAAAAATAATTGGCCCCTGCAATCATGGGCCCTGTCTGGACGGACTGTTTGTCCTCCTATTGAGTCGGTCCTGATCAAGTTGACGATGATGGAGATTGGAGGGTGGAAACGGCATAGAGAAGAGGTAGGCGGAAGAAAAGATTAGAAATAAGTCTTTTATGTGCAAAGAAGTCCAAGAGACTAAATAGCAAAGATACACCAACTTTAACTTCATTCAAACTAGTATCACACCCGTGCGTTGCACGGGTCATTTTTATGTTATAAATTCAAATCATTTTTCAATGATAAAAATGAGATGCAATAGAATATAGATATTATATTATTTTAAGGAAAAAAACATCACTGCTGTACAAATTTCGAAAGACTTCTTTATAGACTACATTATTTGTACAATTTGTGGAAATATTCTCTTCATTGCATATCAGAATCTTCAACCCACTACGATTAGTTACTCTTGAAACTGCAACATAGAGTTGTCCATGACTAAACACAGGTTTCCGTAACAATAGTCCAACATATTTTAGAGATTGTCCATGGCTCTTGAATGGAATTCTTGTATCGGACGGTGTCAATGATAGTCTTGGAATAACGACTTCTTCACCCATGTGGCTTCCTGATAATATTTTTTCTTGTATTGAGTGATTAGCCAATCGGGTTACTATCAGCCGTGTACCATTACATAAACCCATTGAATGGTCAATATTTCTCAACAACATAATAGGTGTGCCTACCTTCAGAGTTAACTCATGATTCGGTACACCAGAAGCACGAATCTTATTTAAGAATTCGGGAGAGTGTAGGTCACCGAGACTCGTTGCTTGGATTCATTGTTGTTATATATTCATTTATGGAATCGACGACATCCAATGTAAGAGACGAAATTGCGCGCTCCTGCAAGTAGCTCAGTTCATTGGCTATTTTTTGAAAGCCTAGATAAGTCGAATCCACTATAGTAGCTATTGGATCTTTAGAAGATGGAAGTAACATGTCATCAGGAATTATCACCTCAACATAGCCGTCTTGTTCATCACATGCGTTCCCGTTGCCAATACTCGCAATCCAATTGCTGAATTCAAATAATTGATCATAACTACTATCATGAATCATTGGTTGCAGTCGCATGTTTTTTGTCAAACGCAATATTGCACAGTCTTCCCAAATGTATGAAGAATTAATCGTTGAGTTAACAATGTCCTCTCTTGTTCCTGTTGGAATAATTGGCAAAATTTGATGAAAATCTCCACCAAAGACAATTGTTTTTCCTCCGAAAGTTTGTTGTTCACTCATTAGATTAGAAAAGCGTAGAATATCGCGCATACTTCTATCCAAAGCTTCAAAGAAATACTTGTGTGTCATAAAGCTTCATCCCAAATAATTAATTTGGCATTCACCAAGAGTTGTGCTAGTGGAGAGCCCTGCTTTATGTTGCAAGTAGAGTTTTCATCTAGAATCAATGGGATTTTAAAACGCGAGTGAGCCGTTCTACCACCTGGCAACAGTAACGATGTTATTCCACATGACGCAACATTCAGTACTATATCACATCCACATCGTATTGCAGCAGATAATGTTCTCCAGACATATGTCTTGCTGGTTCCTCCATATTCGTACAGAAAGAAAATTTTGCCAGCATTTGTTGAACGGATTGCATTATTGCTTCATACCCTGCACGTTGTTCATCGTTCAGTGAACGCAATAGTTTGGTGTGCTCACTTGCCAATGTTATTCGATCGTATTGCATTTCATCAAAAATTAATCGATTGGCTGAAGTCCAAATTCTATGGAGGTTCGCTTGAGGCATATTTGTGCAATCGTGAAGGCTCTTACCATGACTTCTTAGCAAGTCTTCGAGATCACATAGAATATGGTTTTGAATCTCATCATCATTAAGCATTAGACCTAATTAAAATTTATAAAGTTTTAGTCATGTTGTTTTTATTTGAAATCATTATAAAATTAGGAAAAATTACCTTCATGATACAACAAACGACGTTGCCAGGACAAAACATCATCTCCCATATGTTGCCAACATGGCTCACACACATGCCTTGGTCTGGACATTGATTCTGTTGTCAACAGTGTTACAAATAAATTCCTTAGCTGCGCAGCAGAATCCCAGTGACTTGCCTCCATGAATGCGTCCAGATATTCTCTATCATCGTCAAGTAATCCCAACGCATAACATGCATCACGGTATGATTCATGAACAATGCCATTTACAGTTTTGATATCATCGTAACAGGTAGCGCCACACACTATGTTTAGACGACATCTCAAATAGTACGGTTCACCTGTACTTGGAGGAACATAACTCAAACGTCTTATTGCAAAACCTCTCTCTCGAGGTTCATATTGTCTCTTATCTGGCTTCCAAACAAATTTTTGTGGAAATTCACCATATGTTAGAGCTTGTGCATTAGGATAAGTTTTATTTGCAGTCATCAACGCCAGAAATTTACTCTCTTTAATGCATTCTCGTTGGACAACTTTAGAGGTATTATCATCGTCTTCAAAAAATATCATTTGTTCATCTGGCAAGTGAAAGCTCAAGCGTTCAACAGTCGGATTTTTATACTGCATCTCAATCCAAAGATTCTCCACATAGCTTCACATGGACAAATATATCTACAATCATGGTAGAGTTTGATTTTGTTTGTCTCATCTATTGCTAAATCCGCATAATTCTTGGAGTTTTCATAAAAACATCAATAACTCGATCATGACCTTTGTTGACATACTTAAACAAATACTTGATGGAACGTGTTTGGTTACACCATTTGACATTCAGATGTGCGCCATATTTCATAAATAAGTACCTATTATGTGGTACGACCAACGATTGTCCAAAATAACCCCATTTTTTTCAAGCGTTCGTCCATCATTACGTCTTCTGTACCTTGCATATCCATCGTCATCAATGATAGTATCATTATTGAATTCTTTTGGAAAATGTCTGGTGCATCTACCATTGTCCATGCAAGGGGCGCTTGCTGCAAACAGCTCGCAAGGTCCATGAACCATAAAATCAGAGACTGCTTGAAAATATTTAGGATCCAAATCTTTATCAGGGAGTTCAGCAGAAATAAGTTTGTCAATATCTTGAGGGGTTGGACTTTTGCTCTGTTAGCCCAAGAATACTAATGTATGCGCGTGCGGTAATCCTCGCTTCTGAAACTCAATGGTATAAACAACTGCATTGAAAAATAATTTTTAAGCTTTAAATAAATTCTATGTATGCAATTGTTGATGTAAAGTAAGAAAAAGGAAGTTAGTGTGTAGTACCTGCCCGAACTATTCCAAAAAGTTTTTGATTGTGCAGTTCTTTAATGAGCATATTTAATTTCATATGGAAAACTCTGCAACATATATCTGGACGATCTTCTTGCCTTAGATTTCTTTTTTCAAGAAATCGAGTAATTTCTGGCCACTTTGGTTTGCATGTAAAAGTCAAGAATAAATCAGGATAGCCAGCCCATCGACAAATTGCCATAACAGCTTGATAGTTCTGTATCATGTAACGTACACCACCAACAAACATTGACGGAAGAACTACTCTCTTATCTGTGGCCAAAGCATCAATGTCCCCATTGAGTAGTGAGTCTAACAGTCGATTATACATCTCACACCTGAGTTTCATCTAGTGGGTTCTTATCCAAAATAACCTTAATGACTCCACCACGGTATAGTCATCTACAACTAACTATCTCCTGAAAAAGCTTTCTTGAATATAAAATGAAAGGATTTTCATTTTTGCGCTCATGAAATCTAATACCAAGAAACTCTCTAATGCTAACGGTTCTTCGACCCCCACCACCAATGCTTGCTTCATTTGAAATAAATCTGGTCATAATAGTTTTTTTAATTAAATAAATTCGGTTTTTAAAAGTCACATACATGTGGTCCTCCAAGGTAACTTTCATCATTTGCTCTGGAGCATGATTTACCATATGGGTTTCGGGCGGGGTTCGGCTAACAACCTTCCCGATTATATCTGAAAGTCTAGAAATATACAATTTTATAAATTTCTTAATCATAATATATTAAATGTATTTCATATGTGTAAGAATTTGAGGTATGTAAATGTAAATGACTCTTACAAACTAAAAAGACTTGGTTAGCAATCTTTGTTTTGAGTATATCTTCAAAACTCTTAAAGTTCTATCGGAAATTAGGAAATCCATTTTTCGAGAGTTTTTGAATCTTGGTCCTGCAAAAAACGGCAGCATGCAAAGGTGATTCGTAGTTTTTGTGCCTTGGAAATTGCGAATAACCTTGACTCTCATCACTAAGTAAACCGCATTTTCTTGCAAATCTTCTTTGAATGTGCGTATATTAGAATCTTTGATCTGAGCATGGATCCGATCGCCCTAACAACAAATATAAAACGTTTACAATAATTAAATTCAATTTTTTTATAGATTTATATGTAAAATATAAAATAATATAGAACTAACCTCTAACTCGTTAAACAACATCCAATGATTCCGGCCCCCGAGAATGACACTACAAGAAAACTGTCGATCTGCCACGGACAATTTCCGTTGCAGAATTTGTAATTCCGTGGCAAATTTTAATTCTGCGATGGACGTGCAACGAGCATTTTCCGTCGCAGAAAAGTTATGACAGATTTAAGATCTGCGACGGAAATGAAAATCCGTGGCAGATCTGCGACGGACCTCCAACGGGCGCGTCCATTTTTTGCACCCAAATAATCTACGACGGGAGTCTTCAATTCGTCGTAGATCTGCGACAAACTCAGCGACTGTTATTTTCGTCACATATCTGCGTCAAACGCAGCGACGGCCTTTTCTGTCGCAGATCTGCGTCAAACGCAGCAACGGCCTTGTCCGTCGAAGACTACCTGATCACTGCACCAGCTTTTTCTGTTTTTAGGCAGTAGCTATTAAAATGGGGGGAAACACACATTCAACTTTCACACGCATAATTCAAAACAAGATTCCAATACGAAAAAGATAATTCAAACCAAGATTAATTAAAACTTCACGTGCAAATGTAACATAATTCATAATATTGTAAAAACACTAAATATTAAAGCGTTTGTGTCAAATGTTAAAGGTGTCAACAAATCCAGGCTGCCCTGCCCCTCCCATTCCATCATCATCGCCTCGTGGATGAAGGTTACCACCATATAACTTCCTTATCTCCTCCTGAATCGTCAGCGACAACCTTGAGGTTAGATTATCAATTTGTTCCTGCAGCCTTTGGTTTTGCTCTTTAAGTGCTGCCATCTCCGCCGCGCTGCTGCTACTAGTGCTGGAACAGCGAGGTTTGGAGGACGGATTGATCTTCTTCATTTCCTGCGCGTAGTCTCCAACTCCATGAACGCGGTTCTCCGCATTATGGCCCTCGACTAGCGAGTACCATATTTCTTCGTCGGTGACTTTAAGCCCATTTTGTCTAGCCTCCTTGCGCAGTTCGAAGAATTGGGCCTGCAATATATGATAGTTAATAACACACAATAACAACGTAACAACAATAACGTCAAGAACAGCAATAACAACAACATCAACAACATCAACAACATCACAAGAGCAATGTCATATGAAAACAACAACACCATCAACGCAACAACAAAAATAGTGTCATATGACAATAACAACACCATCAACGTAAACGACAATAATAACAACACGATTAACAATAATATAAACCGTCAGAATAACGTCAACAAAAACAAATCAATTACACAAGACATCAACTACATTATCACTCTTTAGAAGTTTTAAGACAAAAACACCAACATTATGAGCATGAACCCAAACTATTTTGCAAATTACAGAAACTACCTGTAGCTCAGCATGTCCCGGATCCATCCAAGTCTTGCCGTCGTGCTTCTTTGTCTTTGTGTGGATGATAACCTCATCCAACGCACAGGAGCCCCTTTCTTCTTAGCCTTCAAGTTTCAATAAACATTTCCATTACATTTTAAATTTAGTGTCCATCGAATAACAAGTGCAAAGCTATTATTTTATAAAATATATCTTACCAATCGATTCATATTTTCAGAAAATGGAATTGAACCTCCACAATAAGTCCCAAGAGCAGGACCATCCTCTCTTCCATTTCTTCTGTTCTTCTTCGTCTTACTCAACTCCAGAAACTCCGGATCCTCTTCCCAAACCTATAGTTGTATATTTCATAAACATTACGTGTACATAGCGATTTGTACATAGCTTGCACAAAATGACTGGGATATCTGCGTCTAACATTTTAAGATCCTCCACAGATAGAGTTTTGGATGTTAACCTCTTGAAATAGTTACTCAACTCCATAATCGCTTCCCAAACAACCTTTGGAAGTAATGCTAGGAATCCAATGGGCAACAACCTTTTCATGAAGACATGACAGTCGTGACTTTTCATCCCAAACATCCTTAGCTTTGTTGGGTCGACACATCTTCCCAAGTTTGAAACATAGCCATCTGGAAATTTTAAAGTTTTCACCCAATCTAGAAATGCTTTACGCTGCGTCTTATCCATTGTGTAGTTAGCCTTAGGGTACTTTCCGGTTTGAGGATCACGCTCCAACTCTTTTCTTGAGCAAAATAATTTCATATCTTCTCTTGCCTTTGCATTGTCTTTTGTCTTGCCCTGTACATCCATTACGGTATTGAAAACATTTCAAAGACATTCTTTTCAATATGCATAACATCGAGATTATGACGAATCATATTTGTCTCCCAATAAGGCAAATCCTAAAAAATACTCTTCTTCCTCCATCCGCAAGAAGTGTCCTTCACAATCTCTGAGTTAATGGCATCACCATTTTTGTCCACGATCCTCCACATGCCCAAACCTTCAATTTCACGCAGTGTCTTTTGACCATTTTTTCTAATGGGTGGCGCTCTCGTCTCAACTGTATTTTTGATGAACTTCTTCTTATTTTTTCTATAAGGATGATCCAGGGGAAGAAAACATCGATGAGTGTCAAACCACGACTGCTTTCCTCCATTGGGTAGTCGAAATGATTCAACTTGATCCATACAAATGGGGCACGCTAACTTCCTGGCCGTGCTCCACCCAAACATCATTGCGTATGCAGGGAGATCACCGATTGTCCACATGAGGGCAACACACATTTTGAAGTTTTGCTTGAGTGACACATCATATGTCTCAACACCTTCACTCCAAAGGCTCTTTAGCTCTTCAATCAATGGCTGCAAGTAGACGTCAATCTTCTGCTTCGGATTAGATCTCCCAAGAACAATTAAGGACAAAAAAATATGTTCTTCTTTCATGCACATGTCAGGGGGGAGATTATAAGGAGTAATCATTATGGGCCAACATGAATATTGGGACCCTGATTGGCCAAAGGGTTGGAACCCGTGTTGAAACACGGGCTTGTCACGTTTTCGTACTAAAGCCGTGTTCGTTCTTGTAACAGGTTTTGATAATGCCAAACCGCCATGATCAAGTCGAACATTGAATATACAAGGCGAAGAACGAAGATAAGAGCAAGAGCTAAACGAAGACCAAGAACGAAGACCTTAATCATAGTATTGAGTCGGTCTTTATTGTGATCAAGACCGACCCAATCTTTACACCTTGGCTCTTTAGGCTAAAATCTCTCATTGCATTTCTTACATCATAAAAATGTTTTTCAAACTTGTTTAAGTCATTAAAAACACTTGGTGTTCGCCCAAACCAAAAACCAAGCCATCCAGTGTTCGGCTTTAAGAAACCAGCGTTCGGCTTTCGGTTGTCGGGTTTGGTTTTTGGCATCCGAACCAACCAAGTGGTTTTCAGCATTTTATGATCTGCTTTCACTCTTTGGCATGTTTAAACGGTTCTCCAACAAAAACACTTTGAAAACCATCTCTCGTTTTTAGTCGTTTGACAAAAACCACGCAAAACGGCGTAAACTTGGCTAGCCGTGGTTTTAATCAAATGAAGTGATTTTTAAAGTGTCTCACTTGATTTCTTAGCCAAATACATCAAATAA